GTAGCGGAAACTCACTTGAGGGACATGGAAGAACCACCTATAGATCCAGCCTGGTGCTGGACTGGGTGCAATCGAGTTGAAGGAGAGAGGCGAGGGGGAGGCGTAGGACTGCTTTGGTCAAGTCACGGACCAGCGTGGATTCGGACATGTGAGAACTGCAGGGAGCACCTATGGGTACACGGAAAGATAGGTAGGGTGCTGACAGCCGTCTGCATCATTTATCTTTCCGTGGGAAACAACCGCCAAGAAGAGAATAACAATATCATCGAGTGTGTTCGTCAAGATATACACAACCTGCCCACAGGTCTCTCTGTGCTGATAATGGGAGATTTTAATGGCCACCAGGTCGAATTGGATGGACGGGAAGATAATAACGGAACCATGATGAGACACTTGGCGGAGGACGTCGAACTGGAGATCTTGAACTTAAGAGAAGATTGTGAGGGACAGCACACTTGGATGGTGCGAGACCGCCGGACGTGCATAGACTATACGCTCGCGTCAAAAAGACTTCGGAGCAATCTTCAAAAGGTGGTTGTAGACGAAGAAGGTGCGTGGAGCGTCAGCAGCGATCACAACAGCATTTTCCTGCACTTCGGCACTGTTCGAGGAACTCCAAGCCGTTCACAGCGCAAAGCTGTAACTCACCTACGCGAAGACGACATATCCACTGTTGTCCAAACTTTTGACGAGAGCACCCGACGTATGCACGCACTAAGCTACGACGACTTTGCAATAGAGCTCAGGACCCTTATCGCTAATCACTCCACCGTCAAGAGCGCACGAGGAAAACGAAAACTTGTCCCATGGTGGGATGTCGAAATTAAGAGGTCCATCCAAGTACGACAAGAAGCTAATCGGCGACATAGGAAAGCACTGAGGACTCTTGGAAAACATCCCGTGACCTTGCAACTATGGGAGGAATACCGCAAGTGCAAGATACAAACGCAAGGCACTGTGGAAGCAAAAATACAAGCCCATGACTGCAAGGTGATGGCGGACATCAAAGATGCAGGAAAAAAGGCCGTCGAAAAGTTCTGGAGATATTTGGGATCTTTGGCTGGCAAAGACAGTACTCCAGTACTGCTAGATTACGACAGTGGGTATCCAGTTCAGAATATCGGACAACTTCTTGAGACACAGCTCTACACTCTGTTCGGAGTTGCGGATGTAGAAATTTCCTCAGAAAACTGGAAAACTCAAAGCCGAATCATAGAGGACGTTCCATTGTCAGCATCTAATGATGAATTTGTATCACTAGTGGGGCGAGTGCATGTAGACCGTGCACTGGCGCGGTTGAATGGCAACACTTCTCAGGGCTTAGACGGAATCTCGGCTAAGGTGCTGAAGAATTTGAGACCCGATTCCCGCACCCAAATGGCGCACCTGTTTAGCCGTATAGTTTGCGGCGATGAACCCATCCCAAGGGACTGGAAGCGTGGCCGAGTCACATTCATTCCTAAGAAAGGCGGCAACATACAACATCTGCGTGACTACCGCCCACTCACTGTAACAGCTGTAGCCTACAGGGTGTTTGCAACCATCCTTAATTGGCGCATCTCATATTGGGCCGAATGTGCTCGTGCTCTCACCGGCCTACAAAATGGATTCCGCAGAGATCGTCGACTGGATGACAACTTGTTCACCCTGACCCAATGCATTGAGATCGCTCGGTTGGAAAAGCGGAACCTTATCTGTTGCTTTTTGGACGTTGCTAAAGCTTACGACAGTGTTCCCCATTCCTTGCTGATCAAGCGGCTCCAGCAGCTCGACATGCCGGAACCTTGGGTGGAGCTAATAAAGCGGCTTTATGATGGAAATCAAGTTATGGCAACCTTTAACGGAGCCTTTTCTGGTGACGTTCCGGTGCGGAGGGGACTACGTCAGGGTTGTCCGTTATCCCCCGTTCTGTACATGCTCTATACATCCGGCATGGAGAAGGAGCTAGAACACACAGGTATTGGCTTTACTTTGCGACACATGCAACACGGAGACATGGTTGAATGGCGGCTCCCCGGGCTCGCTTTCGCGGACGATCTAGTACTGATGGCCGACAACGTCTCAGATATGAAGAAACTGCTGATCGCCTGCGAAGCGGAAGCGGCTCGGCTTCGACTGCAATTTATTTATTTATTTATTTATTTTCATACTCTCAATGCCCGGAGGCTCTACAGAGAGGAGTGGGTGGTACAGATGAAATCGTTGGCAAGCTTCTTGAAGTATGTGACGTCCTGGATGGACACGATGGAGGCAGGGAGGTGGTTCCATTCGCTAGATGTTCTTGGAATAAAAGAGTCAAAATATATGTTCGTATGACATGTCGGCGTGCCAACCTTACACTGGTGATCGTGGCGAGGTGACACATATGACGGATGAAAAAGTAGTTGATCTTTTAGAATTGGATTAGAATAATAGACTTTATGGAAAAGACAAAGACGAAAGTATCTACGGCGTAAAGCAAGGTCAGGTAAGTCCAAAGTTGTCTTCATTGATGAAACACTAGCAGTACGAGAATAATTAGAAAGGATAAAACGGGCTGCTCGGTTCTGGACTGATTCAAGAATGTGTGATAATGTTACATGACCCGGATCCCAAACGGAACAGGCGTATTCGAGTTTTGGCCTGACTAAGGCTTTATACAATTGGAGTTTGACGGGAAGATTAGCGGAACGAAAATGGCGCCGCAAAAACCCAAGCATACGATTAGCATTATTAGAGACATAGTCGACGTGCATGTTCCAGGAAAGGTTATGAGTTATGTGAATACCAAGATACTTGTATGAAGCAACAGCATCTAATGGTATATCATTAAGGATGTATATGGCAGGGTCAGTGGTTTTAGAGAGTCGCGAAACACGCATGCTTTTACATTTAGTAACGTTAAGCTTCATTAGGGATTCAGCGCACCAAGAAGAAACTACGTCGAGGTCTGACTGTAGTATAGCACACTCTTGGGCATTAGTAATTACGCGATAAAGTACACAGTCATCCGCGAACAATTTAATAGAGGAGACAATTTGCGATGGGAGGTCGTTAATGTAGACTAAAAACAAGAGAGGCCCTAGGACAGATCCCTGTGGTACCCCGGACGTTACAGGAGTAGTAGAAGAATTATGCCCATTGACAGAAACATATTGTGAGCGGTTAGATAAAAAACATTTAATCCAGCCCAAGATGTTAGGATCGATATTAAGTTTACTCAGTTTCAAGAGAAGTAGGTCGTGCGAGACAGAATCGAAAGCCTTAGCAAAATCTAAGAAAATGCAGTCAACTATTAGCCCGGCATCAATGGCAACCATCAGGTCATTAGTAAACGATACGAGCTGTGTTTCACAAGAAAAAAATTTTCGGAACCCGTGTTGACAATTAGTAAAAAAAGAATTGGACTCGAGAAAGGCAACAAGGTGAGAGTAAATTATATGTTCAAGTAATTTACACGGCACACTAGTCAATGATATGGGCCTGTAGTTAAGTGGGGAGTGAGCAGTACCTGATTTATGCAAAGGAACCACCTTCCCTACCTTCCAATCGTTGGGTAACGTGCAACACTGCAAAGACTGTGAAAAAATTTCGGAAAGAATCAAAGATGAATAGGTGGCGGTGCTCTTCAGGAATTTTGAGTTGATTCCGTCAATCCCAGCACACGCAGAAATTTTAAGCTTCTGGATTAAACAGTCGACACCAAATGAATCAATACTAACAGGAAACATAGGACTATAATTAGGGCTGAAAACAATGGGGTAACAGGTAGGAGTCGTGTGGGAAAAATAAGAAGCAAACACATCATTCAGGACATTGCAACAATCGTTTAGATCTACAGGAACATTATTCGCATCACAAAGCTCAACCGCACTGGATCTACTACCGCTGACCACGCTCCAAAACTTTCGTGGGTTATCTTTTAAAAGAGAAAAAAGTGTACACTGATAAAACTCCTGCTTTGATTGTGCGACAGCTTGTTTATATTCCGTATCAGCAGCTTCGTAAGCGTCCCAGCGCTCAGCACTTTTTGTTAATTTTGCGCGCCGAAATAACCGTTTCTTTTTATTTCGCAGACGCTTAAGGCGTGCGTTAAACCAAGGTGCCTGTGAATTAGAGCGGATGCGCTTCAGAGGGATGTACTGGTCAGTTAGGTCACTCACTTTTTGCTTGAAGAGAGACCAATTTTCTTCAACCGTTCGCGTATGAAAACGTGAGATGTAATCAGTTAGAAACGTGTCTAATTCATTATTAATTGAAACAAAATCGGCATTTTTGTAGTCACGAATAATCTTAAATGCTTTATATGAGGAAGCAGATGCCTGCAGGTCGAACTGAATAACACAATGGTCACTTAAACCTGGTAAGTATGTTAAGGGAGACACAAGCTCAGGGGTTGTAGTGAGAATGAGGTCTAATACATTGGAAGAATGAGATGAACATCGTGTAGGCTCTTGTACAAGTTGCTTTAAATTAAAATCAAGACAAAGGCTTAGAAACGAAAGAGCCTGTAATGAGTGATCACTTACTGTGGGGGTGTCACTTTTCCAGTTAATTGTGGGAAAATTAAAATCCCCCAGAAGAAGCAAAGACGAAGAAGGAAAACGTACTACCAATCTATTTAAGACATCGTGAAGCTCAGAGCAAAATGTACTAGACGAAGCGGGGGGTCGATAGCAGGCGCAAAAAATAAAATCCTTGTTTCTGACATGTACACGGGCACACACGAACTCTAATGATAGGTTAAGTGGTATAACGCTCGATATTATAGAATCACGAACAGCGATAAGAACACCGCCACCTGAGCGCGAGTCACGATTGAAACGATAAAATTTGTACATACCTTCACACTCAAAAATTTCACTGTCAGCAATTTTACTAGAAAGCCACGTTTCGGTCAGGATAACGATATCAGCTGTACACGTGTCGATAAGAGATGACAAAGCGTCGCGTTTGTTGCACACGCTTCGCACGTTAGAATACAATATTGAGATAGCGTTAGTCGCCGGGCCTTTACATAGTTATGTTGATGACGCGTGTGAATTATAATTGCTTGGACCAGGTGCGAAAACTGCGTTATCGATGCCCGGTTGCGGCGCGGAAGCTGTATTATTGGCACCCGGAGGGAGAGACGCGGCGTTGTTAGCTTCACGAGCGTGACTAGAAGTCACTTCGCAAACACAATCTGTTACAGGGCAGTAAGTATACACCTTTTGATTAACGTGCAGCCTGTTTAGTTTGAGCGAGAACCTCTGACCGGTGCCTTTACCGATATCGATTAACTTTTTACGTAACTGCCGCGTAGCCGGACAGAAATCCTCACTGACTGAAATTCCTGTTCCTTTCAACTTAAAACGCTGAGAAAACACATTCGCCTTGAATTTAGAGGAAGAGAATTTAACAATTATTGGCCGGCATTTATTAGTTGAGTATGAGCCTAATCTATGAGCACGGGATATTGCCTCGCCAGGTAGATCTAGTCCTAATATTGTGGAAAGATTATCGCGGATATGAGATTCTGACTGCGACCAGTCTTCGGAAAGGGTGTCGGCGATACCGTAGAAAAGTAAATTGTCACGACGGGATCTATCTTCAAGCTCATTAAGCCTTGAATTCAGAACGGTAGTTTCGCCTTGGACGGCCTCACTAACAACATTAGACAGTTCAGTAGGATGCTTTGGCACATCTAGTAATTCTACAAGTGATTCGACTGCTGCAAGTCTTGAATTGATGTCTAACACTTTTAGTTCTAGCTGATGCTGGTTATCTTTGACCTGATTTAGCATGTCAACCATTTCGGTATGACGCGCATCGTTTTTAGAAGACTGTTCAGCAATGGCAGCCAGAATATCAGCGTTAGTGATAGGGCCGGGGTTTAATTCAACGTCCCCAGACAACAAAAGTAACTTAAAAACGTGAACACACATATAAGCAATTCTAAGAAAAACCAGCGGGCACTGGAGGAGCAGCAGAAAGCCATTACAGGATCGTTTAACGTGAAAAGATGGGTATTTACGAACCTGCAGAATGAAGCAGAAGGGATTTTGAAGCGACCGCATAGCCGCCGCTCCTCTGTGCCCACTGAAAGCGTCCTGCGGTGACCAGGCGCTTAAATTCGCAGAGAATCCTGCTGTCGTTGACGATGATGCTGGCTTGGTGAAGGGGAGGGACGAAACTGTGGCATCGAACACGGGCGCGATGTCGTCACCGATAGCCGCCAGGACAGTGCATGATGACGGTGCAGAGATGGTGGCTGGCTGTCGAGGAGGAGGTAGCCCTGTCCCAAGGAAGGCCAAAATCTGCAGAATGAAGCAGAAGGGATTTTGAAGCGACCGCATAGCCGCCGCTCCTCTGTGCCCACTGAAAGCGTCCTGCGGTGACCAGGCGCTTAAATTCGCAGAGAATCCTGCTGTCGTTGACGATGATGCTGGCTTGGTGAAGGGGAGGGACGAAACTGTGGCATCGAACACGGGCGCGATGTCGTCACCGATAGCCGCCAGGACAGTGCATGATGACGGTGCAGAGATGGTGGCTGGCTGTCGAGGAGGAGGTAGCCCTGTCCCAAGGAAGGCCAAAATCTGCAGAATGAAGCAGAAGGGATTTTGAAGCGACCGCATAGCCGCCGCTCCTCTGTGCCCACTGAAAGCGTCCTGCGGTGACCAGGCGCTTAAATTCGCAGAGAATCCTGCTGTCGTTGACGATGATGCTGGCTTGGTGAAGGGGAGGGACGAAACTGTGGCATCGAACACGGGCGCGATGTCGTCACCGATAGCCGCCAGGACAGTGCATGATGACGGTGCAGAGATGGTGGCTGGCTGTCGAGGAGGAGGTAGCCCTGTCCCAAGGAAGGCCAAAATCTGCAGAATGAAGCAGAAGGGATTTTGAAGCGACCGCATAGCCGCCGCTCCTCTGTGCCCACTCAATTCAATGCCAACAAGTCGGCCGTGGTGCTTTTCTCCGGGCAGGGAGAGGGCCTTGAGTCTCTTACCATCCAGAAAACTGCGCTTCCTGTTAGTAGCCGCTACAAATACCTTGGAGTGACCCTGACCAATGCAGAAGACTACCTAACAGAGCACCATGAAATTCTCAAGGCGTCATCGCTGAGGAAGCGAAATGTGCTACGTCGAAAGAGCCTTTGGTGCTGCGATCGGTATGTATTAACCCGTGAACTTTGGAAAGCTGTCGCTGTGCCAGGCTTGACTTTCGCCAATGCCGTTACATGTGCCCCCAGCGAGATCCGAGAATACCTTGAGCGGCGCCAAAGGGAAATCGGACGTCAGGCACTCGGATGCCATGGAAGAGTCGCAAACGAACTGGTCCAAGAAGACCTTGGCTGGTCCTCCTTTGAGGCACGGGAGGCTAGCAGCAAGTTGGAATACTACGCCCGATTGCGACACATGAATGGAGATCGCTGGGCACGGCGGATTTTCGTGTACATTCACCTAAGAGGCGCGCACACAACATGGAGACGCCGTACCATCCGACTGGGCACGAAATACGGGGCTTTCTCAATGTCCGACAAGCCTCCGACAAAGAAAGAGTGGGTTGCCCAGGTGAGAGAGAAAATTAAGACCGTCGAGGTGAACCGGTGGAGAGCAGACATGCAAGAACACTCAAGCATGCACCTTTACGCGTCTTTCAAGACCACCATTGCTCCAATCCTCTGGTGTGGTAATACGCTGGGCAGCAGGCTCCTCGTTGAGGCCCGAGGGGGCGCCTTACGTACCCGCCTCTATCGACGAAACTACGACAGCAACGTGACCGACACCCTATGCAGTGCTTGTGGGGAAGTGGGAGAAACTATACACCACTTGGTACTTGAGTGTCCGGCACTCGCACCGGCAGCAGACGTCAGCGCTCGCATCGAGCAAGCCCTCGGGTTTACCGAGGAGAACACGTATGTGCAGTGCTCGAAGCGGAGACTCGAGGCCTGGTGGGCAGTACATTGTTGAAACTAGTGGATACACTCCGCTTTCTAACCTTTTTTTTTTACTTCTTTATTAATTTTTTGGCGTGTCTATTTAGTAGACGCCCGATTCAAAGGGAATCGCCACATAAATACAATACAATACAATGCAATACGGCGGATTGAAGTGAGTGAGGGGGGTACCCCCTTCCGCTTGAGTTCCACAACTGAGGTAATCTAGTAACGTTGATATGGCGTCATCGTCATAGTCGCTGATGACGTGATCAGTGACAATGACAATGTCGATGACGTCATCGGTAACGTCACTGGTGACGTCATCAGTGGCGATGACAATGCGGATGCAGATGACGTCATCAGTGAAGTCACTGATGATGTCATCAGTGGCGATGACGATGCGGATGGCGATGAGATCATCAATGACATCAGTGGTTAGAGCGCAGCTCTTAGGCGCCCGTTTCCGGCTTAAGCGGCGTCGCCGTCGTCGTAACCGCGCGGTGCATTATGGGACGCGTGACGTCACTGATGACGTCATTAGTAACGTCATCGTCATCGTCAATGATGACGTCATCGGTGACATCACTGACGACATCATCAGTGACGTCATTGATGACGTCATCAGTGACGATGACAATGACGTTACTGATGACGTCACTAATGACGTCATCAGTGAAGTCACGCGTCTCATAATGCACCGCGCGTTTACGCTGACGGCCGACGGCGACGCCCACGGCGACGCCGCTCAAGCCGGAAACGGGCAGCTAAGAGCTGCGCTCTAAAACATAACGATTAGTAGATGAAAAACCAAGAAATCAGCCATAGGAGTCTTGGAAGCATACGCAGTATTCAAGGCGGTGAAGGTCAGTGCGGAAGACAAGTATTTCTTCGTATATATGAAAGAAGACCACATTATTGAATACGTGTTTACCCTGTCATGATACGAGTGTTGGGGTATGCGATATTAATTTTTGGTTTTAATCAAATAGCGCTGTGTCGTTCATAGCTTTCACAGGACACAAATAAACCGCGATATTTCACCTCGTCTTGCTGTGTTGAAGTTGGGGAGGAAAATGATCAATTTGATCCGAAGCACTAATCGCGCACCCCTACGTGGATGTTTACTTCGTTAGCGTGTTTTGAATAAGCGTTGAGTCGTGAGCAAAACGTGTTTGGTAACTTTTTTTCACTGAAATGGTTGGTTTTTAGCTGTATATCTTGAGTAATCAACGGACTCGCTCGCATGTCCACTTCGTTTCCACAAGGAATGGTTTAAATAAAACAAACATGCAGTGTTATTCTAAAGTGTTTGCCAAACGCAAACAAAATTTTATGTCGCGATTGTTTATAAAACGAGAGGTCGGTTTTCCGAAAATAACTCCAGTGGTTTAGCGGAGTAGAGAAGAACTCTAGCCAGAACAGCGAGAGTGCGAATCAGAGGTCATGAGCCTGCATTATGTAGTAGTTATCACAAGATTGTGCACCAGTAAAATTTTTATACAGTTCGAAACAGCCAAGAGAAAAAAAATGCGACACTCAGTCATCGATCCGCCAGTAAGTTATTCGATCAGAATACTTGTTAGGTTTATACAGAATACAAAACTCGTTAATGAGTTTCTACTTCTCTGGAATACACAAACGCAATCCCGATACAAATAACAATGTAGTTTTTACACCTAACTTCTTGCGATGTTTCTAGGCCAGGTAACATTCTGCCTAAACAGTAACGTCCGTCTACATTAGGGAGCCTCAAAAGTTTCAAAAAGATACCGTCAAGATATTTTTATTTTACTCGAAAAGCAAATAACGTAAACAACCACTTACTTTGTTTGGTAACAAAGCAATATTTTCTTCAATAAAACAATATACCCAATTAAGGACAATTGAATATATGTAGTTATGTTTATTACATTTCTCTTACTTTAGAAAGTTAATCGTGGAAGCCCTGTTCCACAATTCGAGTTTAAATAAATCTATGCAAACGCCTTCAAGTATAAAATAGCACACGCACGTTTAATTAGTTTGTTTTTGTAAAAAGAAGATTGCAGAATCAAGAGACTAATATTCAACTTCTGATGAAGATAGAGCAAGCTGGTCCCAGTTTCTGCATTCGCCCAAAGCTCTCACGTCTTGAATTTGTCCTCTTCAACACTGTTTAGGTCACCTCACGAACGTGGTTTCACTTTCACCGTACATTTCGTCGAGGTCGTTTTGATAAAATATTTGAATATTTCGCCGGCGAATTTTGTAGTCTGTGGTCACTAAACCAGTGTCCGGCTGCCAGTCTTCTTCACACAACTTTACTTTCAGGGGTATCTCTTTCTTCTCCAGGTTGGCCTTGAGTCCGTAAGACGCAACTGCATTTGTGAAAGCCCTAACAATGGCGGGATTTCTACAGGCCTGATTGAAATTCAGATTGCCCTTACCCTCCTGCACAGCCAAAGTGTGCAGTTTTGTTGGGTTCGGCACCACGAACGCGACCAGGTAAGAGTGGTATGAGCTACCATACACGCACATGTTCTCAATAAATGGGCTCGCTTTCAGTTCCATCTCGATCTTTCCGAGGGACACATACTGTCCGTCTTGAAGTCTCACTATGTTTTCCTTGCGGTCGAGAACACAGATGGTGCCATCAGGGTAAATCTCTCCAATGTCGCCGGTATAGAACCACCGTATTCCGCCTTCTTCTTTAAAACACCTCATCGTGGCAGCTTCGTCCTTGAAGTATCCCAACGTTACACACTCTCCGCCAACCACAATCTCGCCCCTTGGACGTGGCTCATCAGTGATGTAGTACCTGCCCTCATCCCAGTTCACCAGCTTCACGTAGCATCCTTGCGATGGCGATCCAATGCGGCCGAAATTCGTGTCATTCACATCTCTGAGTGCCCCCGAATTTGCTGTTTCAATGAGGCCATACACTTGTACCGGGCAACAGTCGAGACATGCTCGCACAAATACATCATTTTTCATACAAAGAGGTGCCGAGCTCGTGGCTATGATCCTGAATTGTCCACCGAGCAAGGAGCGCATTTCCTTGAAGACAACCCTGTTCAGGATTGGAGTGTTGAAGCCTCTTCCAAGCCAGAAAGTCTTGTAGTTGAGCCAATAGTCAAAAAATCTGCTGAACAATTCACCCTTTCCGGCAACAGTTTCCATGATGTTCTTGCGGATGCGATTTAGAATGAGAGGTGATAATAACACGATTGCAGGCTTCAGTAGAGTCGCGCCTCCTACTGTTCCCGGCTGTAATCCTCTTGATTTGTCCGTAAGGGTCAAAGCTGAAGAATAGCCTATTTTTGCTCCTACGGAAAGGGAAAAGCATTCCGCTACGAGCTCCAGAATGTGAGATAGGGAAAGGTAGGCTATGTAGGCATCATCAGCCATCTGTCCAAAATCAGGGCAACTGGCACTGAATCCCCTTAATGTAGCAATCAAGTTACGATGAGTGATCATGACACCTTTGGGAACACCTGTAGAGCCGCTCGTGTACATAATTACTGCAATATCATCTTCAGTTGGCGTTTGGCCCCACAACTCAATATCTGCCCTCTTTCCTTTCTCCTCGATCTCAGGAAAAGAAAACGCAAAAACTCTTTCTGGAAGATTGACGCTTAGTTCTGAACCTTGGTTCTCCATGTAGATGACGTGTGTCAAATGTGGCATCTTGCTTATGATCTTTGCAACCTTAGGCATGTGATCACAAGACGTCAACAGATGAGTTGCTTCAAGTTTGTTTATGCATTCTATTATATCTTGCTCGGCCGATGTTGCAGAAAGCGCCGCGACCCGGATGTTCACTCGAAAGCAGGCCTGAGCAGCGATCAACCATTCCTGTCGCGTTTCGGCAAGGATCACCAGGCACTCTTGCGGCCGTAGTCCCAGAGACATGAATCCACGGGAGACCAGGTCAATTTTGGTGTCGACTTCGTTGTAGGAGAGCCATTGATACTGTCCTAGAGAAAGCTTCTTGATTACTTTACCTCCATTCTGTTTATCCTCGACCTCTCCGAGAAGTTCTCGTTTTCCCATGCATGGGCGATCGGCGTACTTCAGAACAGCACGTCGCATGAGCTCGTCCATGGTCCGAAGATCTCCTATTCTGTCCACTCTCGAAATGTCTGCTTTGACATAGGGAGACCCCGGGTCGTCGTCATCAAGGCGAAGGCCAAAAGATTGTCTTTTCTTTATGAAGTAGTTCCAAGGTCTTTGCACAATTATGTAAACCGGGAGAGTCAGGATGTCGTAGAGAGTCACCAGAATTTTTGTTATTAGGAGGTAGGTGGCTATTCCATACTCCGACATGATACTTTTTGTAATGGGTTGCCTGTCTTTTTATTTATTTTTTTTTCAAATATATATATATATATGCTGACTTCTGGTGCTTCAACTCTTGTGGGGATTGTCTGAGAAAAAAGCGTTCTACTTTCCAATGGCTTGTTTTGCCTGCGTAGGGTGACGCCTTTTTGTGAGGACAGTCATTCGTGCCCTACAGGTTTTATGTAAGTCCCACAGGAATGACGAGCAGTTCTGTGGAGTTTTTTTCACCGTTGAACACTTCAGGGGTTCATGACCGCTTGTGGACTTCTTGCTAGGAATGAAGTCAGCTTCTTTGTACTTTTCCCTGAAACGGAGGAGAAAAGGAGTACGATTTTGGTTAACCGTAAAACATAAACATAAACAGATTGACAACATCGTAAAGTTATTGCTACGTTTGGAACCTGTACTCTTAGTTCACCGCTTCGAAGTGTAGGTATTGAAAGGAAAAAAAAAGAACAAGCTAATTTAGATATAATTCCCAAATTGTGGCCGAAAAATATAGTCTAATTTATTTTTTTATATTTCTTAAGATAGTCCTATTTTTCTCTAGTAAGAGAATATGCGCCAAGTATACCAAAGAATTAATTATTAATAAAGTGCCCAAAAGGCTTGTTTTCTTGACGATCTAATCTTACGTGCGGAGTAAGTTTTGCTATTTTAATACCTCCTTTACCATTATAAATATTTATAATACAATACTTTCCAATTCTGAACTGCAACATGTTTATCAAAAAAGTTAATGTTCTTTTTAAATATATAAACTCTATAAAGTATCAAAAGTAAGCAGTGCAGTTCATTCTGCAGTTGCGTAGAAGCACCCTAAATTGTTTCGAACGAGATTCAACGAGAGTGACCGGCCAACATGTTAATTTAACTTGATAGCGTGGATATACTCTCTTTATATTCTATTGAAACATATTTAAAACAACTTGCGTTCAAGAAGACGTTTCCTGTTTGTTTGTTTTTACGCACAGCAAACGTTCAATCTGTGACTCTTTTAGCACACAATAAAACGAACGCTTTCTTTTTTCTCTTTTTCAGTATTTGAATTGCAAAACGTTCATCAAATTGCTACTGTTGTGGTGCAAAGTAATCGCTAGGGGAGCCAACCTATGGCTCCTTTTAATGCACTGTTGGAGTAAAACGGGGAAAGGTGCCGATGTTCTGTTCGTGCCGAATGTGTAAGCCGGTGCATTGACGCGCACCAAAGTTTCAACCAGTTTTCCTACAAGTAACTTCAACAATAGTATCAGGAAAGTTTTTCTCTTTTTTTTAGATGGTAATTTATATTTAGGATAGCGCGTTTTAGGCGTTCTTTTTTTTTCGAATTTTGGAAGGTGTTTTTTATGGTTTTTTAATTGGCCATCTCTTTTTTTTCCGCTGCCGGACTTATATAGTCGCGGTTTATTGACCCTCATGTTGAAGAAACTTGCACTCGAGCATGATATTCTTCATTCCTAGGGAACATGCCCGTCACTCGAGTACTTGGGAAGTGAGCCAGTTTCGATAAGGGAAGAAAAGGGACAACTAATGTGATTCCGGAAGAAAGAACGGGCAGTTATGTGGCGGCTGGGTTTCGGGTCAACATAAAATGAAGTTGCAGATAAGATTCAGTTCCAGGAAAGCTTTGGTTTTTCTTATTTGAGGCAAGCTCTGATGAACAGTTTCTTCGGTGGCCCCTGATTTTGATTAAACGGGCTCAGGGGTTGATTTTCGGGGTCTATCAGTGGTAAGTAAACACAGGGAATTCTACTTGTACATTCTGCAAAAAGAAATTTGCTGAGCTCCCGTATTTCTGCGTATATTTTAAGAGTGTGCTTTACGAACCATTCGAAACAGTTTAATAAACTGCTACGCAAAAATCTAAATGCACTGATGAAATGAAGTAAACTAGTAAGCTGGGCGAGTTGGTAAACGTTGACTTTGATGAAAAATCGCGCACAAAGAGACGAGGACAAACCAGTTATGTGTTCCTTCATCATTTGTCATCGTCTCTTTGTGCGCGATTTTTCATCATGTCCAACAGTGATAGAATGATTGCGTATAATGTACGTATGACAAAACTGCCTTAAAATAAAAAAAGAAAGACAAAAAACAAAACGATTACATTTTCCCGATTAAACAAAAATATTAATTTTTAAACTCTTTTCCTACCTACTTTAGTTTGTCGTCCATTCCCGTAAACATATATATATCACAAATTAGTCAAGACATTTGCCTCGTCTATCAGCCCTTTTTAATGCGAGAGCATTAACTGACCCATGGAGCGAGCCGACGTCATCAGCCGCGCCAAACGGCAGATAAATTCCCGGAGCCGCGATTTGAGGCATCCCAGCTTTGAAACCACGCAGAAAGCCACGCTAAACGGCAATGATATGAAGCCGCCGCGCGTCAGTTTCAATTAGAGCTTCCCCGTGGCGCTGCGTGTCCGCAAGGCAGCGGCTCCACCACTCCACGGCCAAGGTCAGCGTGGCGAGGAGAGCGCGTGCTCTCGACCGTCGACGCAAGTACGCCGCAGAAAAAATAAGGAAGCGGAAGAACGGCGTTCATGCTTTCACATTCACAACTGATAAGGAGTTCTTAGGTGTACCTGGAGTCTTTTTTGTGCCGATTGACGTTCTGCATGCGAAATTATTACGTGTTCCTTTTTTAAAGCCTAAAATAGTTTTATTAATATATTTGTACCACTAAAGTTATTAACGGTTACTGCAGCGTAATTTCAAGGCGAGTGTCGATGTGAATATCTTACGTAACTCATTTAGTAGTTTTCATAATGAGAAGCAAGTAAATGTTATAAGCCACATGTTTATCTTTACTCATTGAAAACTAAATTGTTTTAAACTAATTAAAGGTTTAAACTTCGCAACCAATACGCACCTCTCTAAATAGACTCGATTGACAGTGAACAGAACTGCATTCATAATTTCCTTTTGTGCGATGACTATAGTGTACGCTTGAAAGGCCGGAATATGGTTTGGGATACACTCTGTATTTTATTAGGTTGACAGTCTTATTTCATGATAAAATGAGTGGTAAACGGGCAGTTTTAATGTACAAATAATAAGCCAAAACTGTGTCTCTTATTTTGTAGGTCCTTATCAATTCTCACTCTTTACACAATCTCATAAATGCTGTTTATTAAAACCAATCAATATTGACGCCGCTGCTCGGTACTGCAACGCTCAAGCCCTTTCTAGCAGGCCATGTTTTCCCATACTGATAGTAACTTTATTTTGAAAGAAGAGGGTATTTTATCAATCCTGATATGATAGACAATCACATGTATAGATCAAGTAAAAATACCTTGTCAACTGCTACTTGATTGTGTTCTGTGTATAGTAAATTAAGAAATATTAAAAAATCCCTTTTATGTTTTCCAAGATAGTGTACAAGACTAACCCGTTTCAACACTAGGTAAGTTTCAGTAACACCGTATCAGTTGTTGGAGATTAACGGGAAGAAGCAACGATGGCTTTTTCGTGATGTCTCGCATTCGCTAGCTGAAATCCCTTATTTGCACAAAACACGGCGTTCAAAAGAAGACCTTTTCAGTTTGCCAATATGGTCTTAGCTGTTCGCATAACCGTTAATGGACATAACGGGACAAAAAGTTATAAACAAGAAGTAACACTTTCTTGTGTACGACGACGTTCTATAGAGCGACAAGAAGAAAAGGATGGTCCGCATAGAACCCTGATACTCTGCGACATCAATAATATGAGACATAAATTAGATGTGTATGAGCGCTACATAAAATGGACATACTAATCTATGTTTTATTACAGTCTAAAAAATATTTTATTAAGCGTGTGCCCTGCGTCATTTTATTTCGGTTTACAAGCTTATTACTTATAAAAGATCTGCATTTCAGAATAACCTTTTTTTCTGGATTCTTCTGAGATAATGTCTGAAGTTATTTTTTGTCGAATTCTATAAAAGAAAGCATTTGTCGTAAATGAATAAGGCAATTTTTTTTTATTTATTCAGGGTTTATACAGTCCAGTATGGTTACGAAAATTTATTAACCTTTACTTTTTTGTTATTCCTTGAGTTCTGCCATGACATAAAAATGTAAAGTACACTATAAACTGGGGACAGGCCACTAATATTCGATCTCTTTTGAAATCTCCCTTTTTATAAAAACGTACTAATGTTGACAGTTGCGAACTCCTGGCAAGCCGGCCAGGAGTTATTTTAACGGTTAACTGCAGTGACAAAGCTATTTGCATGCAATTGTATGAGGCCGAATAATTCAATAAGCAGAGAAAATGAATACCAGCGTCTGGCAACTCGCACTATCGGTAGCCATTTCCTAATGATCGTTTTGATTCTTTCTTATGAAACCCCTATCATGCCCAGATATTGAACCACTTATTGTCGTCCACGTACGCTATACCACAGATATCAAAAGACGAATATAGGTACACGCGTATTGTGCGTATGCTTTTCTGCGTTTAATATTATCTCCTTACTACCCAGATGCTAACTATGGATATTTAGTCTGAGATATTATGCCGGATTCATAAAGCACCTGTGAACTGCGAAAGGCTGCGGTCCCAACACGAGTATGCAGGGCCGCATGCCCGGCATCTGGTTTTGTCAAGATTCCGACTCTTCGATTTCAATCTTTTTTCACTTTCTTCGTTCTGCTGATGTTTGTCCTTCGGTATGCTTTTTTTTTTACAATTTCAAGCTAGGCAGTCAAATATCAGGGGAAACACTTCAGTAGTACGTCACGTCCAGACGTCGTCGACGATCCTCAGACATCGTTTCAATGTTCATGTACAGCCTGAGAGAGATGACCTGGAAATGTCATTGGGGAGCTTTCCCAATACCAAAGATTGACACCTTTACAAACACGCTACTTGTAAGCTTGTTTCTTGTTGTAAAAAGGTTGTTTTTGAGTATGAATATCGTTAATAATAGAACTTTATTTGGTGTTGTTTTTTTGCTTTTGCTATAAACATTCCTTAACGTTTTGGTGC